GGTAACTGCTAATAAATTATCCAGATATACTGTACATTGTGTTTATCCTTAGTTTAACCATTAGAACAAATTCAGAGCTGCCATGGGGTGAACACTATTCCAGTACCGCACAGTATTCTAGCAACTGTGTAATATGCTGTTCTTTTAAAAAAATATTTAGAAGAAGCTGGTTACTGTTTTCTTGTACAGCGTATTATTTCCTCTATGTTGATTTATTTTTTCCTAGAAACATGACTTTCCCATAGGAGAGACAAGGAAGACAATTGTTTCACAACTGGCAACTATCTCTTGAAAATGTCAGTATCAGAAAATGGAAAACGTCTAATTTAAATAATGCATGAGACAGCAGTAAATCCCCAAGGCAGAAACAAATTCTCTTTGTATGGCAAGCCATTTGCAACTCAAAATGTTCTCATGTTATGCTAAAACCTTCATTGTAAGGAAATGTCACTTGCAGTGCTACTGACTCAATCTGTGGGAGGTCCTCAATTTTTTAAAAATATTTTTAACTTAACTATGAAATACCGCGAAAGATACTTCTGCTGTGTAAAAGTGTTCTAGTAAAAATGTGAAAAGCCATTACTTAATGAAAAAGGAGAGGTATTTAGTTATGACTGGTTAGAAATCCCATTTTATGTTCAATATAATTTCTTCATAAAACTACCTATGATTAAAATTGTAATCTGTGAAACTGGTAGTTGGAATTACAACATCAGATCCCGCTTCTTACTTATGCCACTGGTTTTGAAGTTTGGCATTTCCTAATGTTAGAAAAGCTAAGCAAAAGAGCATGGCAGAAAGTGGGTTATGGAACTGCTGGATGATAAGCTCTCTGACTTTTTTCACCCACCCACCCTGAAGGGGAAGAGAATGGCAGCATATTTGGCACTAAAATATATTGAAAATGAAAGTTATTACTATTTATCTGGACTATCAGAAGGCATTGTAATGACTGGTGTTTTTGAAGGTTATTTCTTGCAGTTATTATTGATCTTTGAATTCTGCAAAGAAGCCACGTTACTACACGTACAGAATAAATAACCTAGGAAAAATATTGTTAGGGATCAGACAGATGGTGCTGGGGCCAGGTAGAAAGGGGGCTTGAAAGAAAAAGATGTTGAGAAGAATACAGAATAGCTGACAGAAAAAAATAAAGATAAAACATTTAAGATATAAACAAGTATTTTTAATTTAAGTAGAAACAAAGTCTGTAACATACCAACATTTATTTATAAAGTCACAGATCTGTACTAGGACAATCACTGTAAATTATTGTAGAAAAACCTGAGTTCAGAATGTAATGTTACGTATTTGTATAATAACTATTAAATTATTAATTTAAAAATAACATCTTGAATGTCTTGGTTCCACAAAGATACCTTATTTAAAAACTATAGAACCCAAGTAACAAGAGAAACATTCACCAAGACCTGTATTCAATTCAATCTTTTTAAAAGAAAGCACGTCCTTATCATTTGACATTATACCTCAAGGCAAATACACCTCCTCTCTGTGGGAAAAAAACAGATTACTAAACAGTAGCTCATAGGAACATTTAATTCTGAGCTAACAACTGATTTCGACTCATAACAATTGCTCTGTTTACCATTATGTTTTATTTTTAGCCCCTGACCTATAAGTTTGGCTTTGAGTAAAAAATTAAAATTAAATGGAAGGCCTCAAGAGAAAGGAGGTAGAAAAAGAGGAAGAGTATATAATCAGTTGAAGCTCTCTTTAAAAAAAAATCCCCAATGTGTCAAAATGTATACACAATAAAATACAAAAGTAATGAAAAGCAGAAACTAGACAGAAAATCATAAAGACAGCATATATTAAAGAGTATGTTACAACTGAAAATCCTTTTAACAGGGGTTAAATCATGAATGGGCCTAAAGGGAATTGTATTCCATTGGTGAACCACTGGTCAATTTATGGTAAACCATCTGGAGTCTGCGGTTACTGGGATTTATGCCAATAATTATGAACTCATTAGACTCACTGATTTCCAACAAGCCATTTCTTAGGCTATTAAATAGGAATGTAGAGTCAATCTCATTTAGTATTGTATTTTAACTGTTAAAAGATCCTGATGTTGGAAATACACATTTATTTAATTTATTCAATTTTTATTGCCAGCCATCTCAGCCAAGTGACTCTGGATGACCTACAATACTGAAACTATAAAACAGATAAAACAATTTAAAACAATAACAACGTCAATAAAATAAATACATACAGCAGCCAAGACAATTAACCAATTAACAGTAAAGCCAAAAAAACAGGACCCTTAACACATTGATTTAACTTAATTGCTGTTTGTATATTTGTAGCTCAGTATATTAGGTGAATCTAGCCAATGTTGTGTGACTAGTTTACTATATAATGTACTGTGTAAACCCAGGGAATTGGATTAATTTATAAGATATGATTCAATTAACTATGGGTTAGTGGAAAGTGGGAATATAGCTTGAAAACTCATTCTTGTTTTTTAAATTCAAAAAAGAAAGTTGGTGATCCCAAAACTTTTGTTTAAAAGTGAACCATTAAAAACTGGAGAAAAAATCTACTGACCTAGACCTAAATTATTCTTTCAATAGAGTGCCTAGGTCTTAAATAATTAGCAATTTAAAGGAAAAAAATTATTGTTGAGCCTGAGAATAAAGTGACATATATACCAATGGCTGAAGAACTTAAAGATGGGCATGTGAAATCCCAAGAATGGATCAATATGTCAATATGTGACATCATGGAATGAGTGAAACAGAAATTTAAAGCTTCCACATCTGAAAGAGGAATCATTATTTCTTAAAATTTAGATATCTATATTAATCTGCCACAAAGCCAGATTGCTGGAATGCTGTTTTATTTAAGAACAAAAAAAAATCTCTGGGGACAACTGTAGATATGCATATCTATCTAGGTCAGGGGTGTCAAACTGCTGGCCTGCAGGCTGGATGATCACGTGGAAGCCACACCCACCATTGCCGGTAATGGCAAAACCGTCCCGATACGTTGCACGAAATCACGACTTTGATATGTTATATCTATTGCTTTACTGTTTTAATCTTTTAATATATTTTATCTGATTGCAAACTGCCCAAAGTTGCATGACAGCAAGACGGGTGGCATAGACAAACAAACAAACAAATAAGCAAGCATAATTCAACATAATAATGTCTTTTGCTTCAAAGAATGTGATGAGTCAGGTCACACCCATCAAGACCCTCACCTGACGTGACCTCCCCATCATAAGACCTACTGACCACACAAAGCCCTTATAAATAGATGAACACTGACACTGACATCCCCTAAATGCCTCTGAAGATATTACCTAGCCCTGGTAATGAAACATTTGGAAACCAACCCACAAGCTCAGAGAATGAACCTCCACCCTCATCCTACACCTGAGCTATAGATATTTATCACCATTGCAAATTTATTCTATTAATTTTACCAATACAACTCAGTGAAGTGATCTGCCATAAAACATTGTTCTAAACACTCTGCTAGAGAGAAGTTCCTTGAGGATGGGCTCCAGTATGAGGTCCAAAAGCTCAGAATACTAAACCTGTGGTCCCAGTGACCGACCCAGATTGGATCCCATTCTAAATTGGCTTGTTGGAACAAGGCAACTATTCTTGCTCATTTTTCCCCCAAATCTATTTAAAGTTTTTGTTCTGTTACACACAATAAACTTGGTTCTTTCATCCCAACAAAAGCTGCTTGTTCTTAAGAATGTTTAAGCTAGAATCTGCTCCATTCTTGTGCTATCTGAGATTATGAGCAAAATGCTATCTTGATTTCTCTTGCAATCCACTTATCATTTTTGTTTGTGCTTATTCAGAGTTCCAATCATTTTTTCTCATAAAACAATTCATGATAATAAACCTTCTCTAGAGCCCTTAGACTACTTGCAAAGCTTTCTTGTCTAGCTGAAGAAAAAACACATTCCTCAGGGTGAACGTTATTTAAAAGCATGCATAGTAATTACACAATTAATCTCTTCTGTCGCTGATAAAGGCAAGCTGAATGCCCAAGTAATGAGACACATTTTGATTAAAGATGCTATCATAATGTAACCGTGTTAAGACATGGAAGTCATAAATAATAATGTTATGATAGATAATAGCCTTTAACCATATACTTAGAATTTGATATGTGTGCTCTGTCATTCAGACTACATAATTAGGTTAAGCAGAGATACCGTAGAGGGACATGATGAACTGGTCATGGTCAAAGGGTAGAAGAGCAAAGGACATGAATAGGAGCCAGATCTTCTTTGCTATATTTTCACTGTGTACCAACTACATTCTCTGAAAGGTCCCTACAATCAAATCCTATGCACAGTGAATAGCTGCTTTCCAGTAACAATAATTGAAATCCTCTTTGAGCTGCTGCAAGAAAATAATGTCTGAAACTGTGCAGAAAAGAAGCCTGTTGCAATTGTCTATTCAATTCAGAGCAAAAAAGGAATACAAAACAATAGCTGGATAAATTCACACATTGGGCTAAACCAGAGGTAGACAACCTTGGCTCTTTTATGACTCGAGGACTTCAACTCCCAGAATTCCTGAGCCTCGGGAATTCTGGGAGTTAAAGTCCACCAGTCATAAAAGAGCCAAGGTTGCCTACCCTTGGGTTAAACAAAAGATTTTGGCGAATTTTCTTGAGGCAAACTACTGAGATCCGATTCACTGATAATACTTAATTCACTCAATTATAAACCATGTTTCGCAAGTCCACAGTTTTTGTTGTTTCGAGTAAGTCCTTTATTTCTAGTATTTCAAGTATACTAGCAGCTATATACATATATGCTCATTCAAATGTGAAATATGCATAGAATTACTGGAGAAGGGGAGATTTGCTATATTAGTTTTAGTTGGAATTTTTTTGAGGGTGGTCTATTCTTCATTACAGAAAATGTCTTAATTCCTGTTTTTGTTTCTTTTCAGATAAATGTGGTATTCCATCCCAACCATAATAAATCCAGGTGTTCTTACCTTCAAGCGTTTCTCCTTGTTTAGAAAGAGCCTCTCCTGCTCCAGATGCATAAAGAGCAGTTACTGACAAATCATATTTTGTCCCTGGTTCCAAGTTAGTGAGATCTGTACTGGTAGTGTCTCCCCTTACGGTTATCTCTTTAGGTTCACCTCCAATCGCTGGAGTATACGTGACAAGATACTGTTGCACTTTGCCAGGTGCTGAATTCCAAGATAGTTTCAACGAGGATGTTGTAGCATCTGAAACTTTCAAGTCTCTTGGTCTTCCAAGCACTATATAGGATAAATTAAAAAAGAAAAAACCTTAGGAGCAAACCAACAAAAACATTCCAAGAACGGTGGATTTCCGGTGACGTCTGTTGGTAATAGACCCTGAGAAACGACTTTCCGTTCCCAGGGTTTGAAATTCTTTTGCTGGTGGGCCCATTTGGACTGAATGCCATCCTGGAGGGGTGAACCTTCGAGGAACGGGAGCCGGCAGTAGCCGGCCCGCCGAACTCAAAACAGCCCCTGGAACAAGCAAGAGAATGGTGGAGAGTTTTCGTGTCTGCCGCCATCATCAACAGATCATCGAAGACAGAAGACAGCTGATTTGAAGAACAAGCAACCGGTCCGGGTGAGACAATGCTGGCGCTTGCTGCAAACTGACCTCTTTTGATAAATTGCCTGCCTTTGAGCTGAAGCTGGAAGTTTGAGAGAGGGAGGTTGAGGGATTTTTGTTTCCCCCTCCCCTAAAGCAGTGGTTTAAGCACTATTTTAAAACTTTTGAAACTTTCTAATTGAAGCCAAATTGAAGGAATTATCCTGTTCCACTATAGAAAGAAAAAGCAAGAGATTTTAATATTTTAACTGGGAAAAGCCATCTTAATTGCTTCTCTTTAGAACTCTAGTTTTGTGTATTTGCTTTTTGAATTTTTTTTTCTTCTCTTCTCCCTATTCAAACAGTGGGGGAAAGAGACAGTGTCCCCTGGTGGTTATATTTTAACCTTCCTTTTTTGTTTTGTTTTTTGGTAACTGTATTCAGCTGCACAGTTACATATTAAGAGACAACACTCTAGAATTTTAGAACAACCAAAATTGGGTAAACTCTATTCTTCTTTGGCACTACAAAAGAAAAGAGGGATAGCTCTATACATAAAAGAAAAGATGAACCCAAAACAAATCTATGTCGATGAAGAGGGAAGATTATTAATGGTGGAAATTACATGGAATCAAAAACAAATATTGATGGTTGCAATATATGCTCCCAATGAGAAACAAGATCATTTTTTCAGCAATTATATGATAAACTTGTGGACTTAAATTATCATAGCATTTGTATACTTGGAGACTTTAATGCAATTGCTGATGCAGTACAAGACTACAAAAGTCATAAACAAGGGAAAAAAGGAAGTAATATCTTACCTAAACTCTTTTTAAAAATGAAAGACGAACTTTGTCTACAGGATATATGGAGAGAGATGAATCCAGAAAAAGCACAATATGCCTTTTACTCCAATAGACATAAATCATGCTCAAGAATTGATATGATATGGACTTCTTATGATCTGAAGACTATGATACAAGAAGTTGAAATAGAACCAAATATTTGGGCAGATCACAATTCAATTAAAATGACCTGGAAAGGAGCTAGGAAAAGATTAAGATAGTTCTTGAATAAATCGATATTGAAGGAAAAAGAATTCTTACAATTAGCAACAAAAGAAATGAATTTTTTCTTTAAAATTAATAAAAAAGAAGAAACTTCTATTCAAAATGTATGGGATACGGCAAAAGCATACTTTAGAGGTTTGGCTATCACTTATGTTGCCAAAAAGAACAAAGAAAAGAGACAAACACAGTGCAGATTGAAAGAACAGCTTAGTATTCTGGAATCTGAGCTACAAATTGATCCACAAAAGAAAAATTTGAAGATACAAATGGAATTAATAAAACACAAATTAAACTTACTTGAGATGGATACAAGGGCACAACAGATTAAGCGAGCTAAACAGAACTTTTTTGAAAAGGCTAATAAACCGGGAAGATGGCTTGCATATAGATTGAGAAAAGAAAGAGAAAAAAAGATTAATAAGTAAACTACAGGACTCAAAGGAAGAATTACATTGTCATAGTGATGTAATGAAAAAAATCACTAAGGCGTATTTTGAGATACTTTATAAGGCGATTTCTAAGGTGATTTCTAAAGAGGCAATTCAGGATTATTTAAAAGAAGCAAAGCTCCCAAAGGTTCCTGAGAACATGCGACAGAGGTTAAATGAGAAGATATCAATGATGGAGATTATAGAGGCAATAAAAAGACAAAAGAAAGACAAAACACTGGGGCCTGATGGACCATCTGCAGAATTTTACGTAGCCCTACAAGATACTCTAACTCCAATTTTGAAAGACCTGTGTAATGAAATTTTTATAGAGACAAAAATATCGAATTCATGGACTGAAGCTAATATCACCTTAATACCCAAAGAAGACTGATCTTACACAAATTAAAAATTATAGACCAATATCATTATTAAATGTGGACTATAAAATTTTTGCTGCAATAATGGCAGAAAGAATGAAAAAATTTCTAAATGAATTTATTCACTCAGATCAAAATGGCTTCCTTCCAAAAAGACAGATAAATAACAACTTAAGGATTATTTTAAATGCTTTGGAATATTATGAAAATCATCCAGGGAATCAGATGGCATTTATATTCCTTGATGCACAAAAAGCTTTTGATAATATAAATTGGCCATTTATGTTCCAACAGCTATAAGAAATGGATTTTGGTGAAAACTTTATTAAAGCAATTCAAGCAATTTATAAGAAACAAACAGCAAGAATACTTTTAAATGGAGATTATACAGATGGATTTGATATTTAAAAAGGCACGAGACAAGGATGTCCACTCTCTCCCTTGCTATTTATTCTTACATTGGAGGTATTGACTAGAAATATTAGACAAGACAGGGAAATTAAAGATTTAGACATTAAAGACCAGAAATATAAATTACAGGCTTTTGCGGATGATCTGGTTTTTATTTTAGAGGAGCCATTGGAAACAGCACCTAAACTTTTAAAGAAAATCAAGAAATTTGGAGAAGTGGCTGGACTGAAAATAAATAGGGAAAAGACTAAAGTTTTAACAAAAAATCTAACTGATAAACAGAAAACCCAGTTGCCAAAAAGACAAATCTTCAAATAGTAAAAAAAGTTAAATACCTAGGTATCTACCTAACAGCAAAATATACAACACTAAAAGAGGACAACTATGAGAGATTAATAAAACAAATAAAAGTAGATTTGAAAAAGTGGGAAAATCTTCAACTACCATTGCTAGGAAGAATAGTGACTGCAAGATGAATATTTTACCAAAGCTGATTTTTTTTATTTCAAACAGTTCCTGTTAAACTGAGCAATCAATTTTTTGATGACCTAAATACAATAATGTAAAGATTTATATGGCAAAGAAAGAAAGCAAGAATCAAATGTAAACTTTTACAAGACTCTACAGACAGAGGGGGCTTTGGACTCCCGGATTGGAGACTTTATTATCAAGCAGCTATTTCGCTTTGGCTTAAAGAATGGATTACATTGAGAAATAAACGACTTCTTTACTTAGAGGGACATGACCTCCAACTAGGTTGGCATGCCTTCTTATGGTATGAGAAAACTAAAGCACATAAACACTTTCAAAACCATGCCATAAAAAATGTATTGATTTCAGAATGGGAGAGAATCAGACACAAAATGTATATGAAAATACCTGAGTGGCTTTCAACAATGGAAGCATTTGCTTACCCAAACTTGATTAATTATGATAAACTTGTTAGCTATAAAGATATCTTGGATAAAGATGGAAAACTTAAAGACAGGCAAGTTCTTCAATAACAAGGTATTGACTTAACATGGTGGTCTTATTTGCAAATCCAAACAAGATATGAAAAAGATATAAAATCAACAGGATTTTATAAAGAGCAGACTCCACTTGACAAAATAGTTTTAAAAATAGATGAGAACTTGATTAAGAAACTTTATAAATGTTTGTTAAACTGGAAGATGGAAGAAGAACAAGTAAAAGAAACAATGATAGTATAGGCAAAGAATTTTGGACATTCTATAGACTTAGAAGACCGGCAAAAACTTTCGGATAAAAACATTAAACTTACTAAAGCAGTAACATATAAAGAAAATTTATATAAGATGTTTTATAGATGGCATATGACACCAGTTAGATTAACGAAAATGTTTAAAAATGTATCAAATACTTGCTGGAAATGTAAACAAAAACCAGGCACTTACTACCATGCCTGGTGGATATGCCCTAACGCAAAGAAATATTGGCTTAAGATTCATAGATGGCTGGAAAAGATGACGAAAATACAAACAGAATTTAAACCAGAATTGTTTTTGCTAGGAATAGTAGGATCTAACTATGGTAAAGAGAATGACTATTTAATACTACATGTATTAACAGCTGCAAGAATAGTATTTGCCCAGTTTTGGAAAAATGAAAATCTACCATCTGACCAGACTATAATTTCAAAAATTTTGGACTGTGCAGAAATGGATAGATTAACATTGGAGATGAAGGAGAAAGAAGATTCAATTTATTTCAAAACTTGAGAAAAATTTTACTGATGGTTAGAAATACGCTAGAATATAATCAGAACTTAAAATTGAATTGAATCTTAAAATTGAATAGAATGATAGACTCTTAAGTGTTATTTCTTAGATTAATAATAGTTTATCATGAGTGATTTTAAATATCAATGGTGATGGCTAGAATTCATTGATATGTTATTAAGTATGAATATTCATTTAAAGGAATTTTACTTACCTATCTAATTTTAGTTATATGATTATAGTTAATTTTATCTTTATAAAATTAACTATTCTTCATTACAGAAAATGTCTTAATTCCTGTTTTTGTTTTTCTTTTCAGATAAATGTGGTATTCCATCCCAACCATAATAAATCCAGGTGTTCTTACCTTCAAGCGTTTCTCCTTGTTTAGAAAGAGCCTCTCCTGCTCCAGATGCATAAAGAGCAGTTACTGACAAATCATATTTTGTCCCTGGTTCCAAGTTAGTGAGATCTGTACTGGTAGTGTCTCCCCTTACGGTTATCTCTTTAGGTTCACCTCCAATCGCTGGAGTATACGTGACAAGATACTGTTGCACTTTGCCAGGTGCTGAATTCCAAGATAGTTTCAATGAGGATGTTGTAGCATCTGAAACTTGCAAGTCTCTTGGTCTTCCAAGCACTATATAGGATAAATTAAAAAAGAAAAAACCTTAGGAGCAAACCAACAAAAACATTCCAAGAAACATTTTCTATCTTTAAGTTCTGTGAAACAGTGGTGAAATAAATTTGCCACCACCGCCATAGAGGGAGCATGATGAACTGGTGATGGTCAGAGAGAAAGAAGAGCAAAGGACATGAATAGGAGCCAGATCTTCTTTGCTGTATTTTCACTGTGTACCAACTACATTCTCTGAAAATTCCCTACAATCAAATCCTACGCACAGTGAATAGCTGCTTTCCAGTAGCAATAATTGAAATCCTCTTTGAGCTGCTGCAAGAAAACAATGTCTGAAACTGTGCAGAAAAGAAGCCTGTTGCAATTGTCTATTCAATTCAGGGCAAAAAAGGAATACAAAACAATAGCTGGATAAATTCACACATTGGGCTAAACCAGAGGTAGACAACCTTGGCTCTTTTATGACTTGTGGACTTCAACTCCCAGAATTTTTGAGCCTCAGGAATTCTGGGAGTTGAAGTCCACACGTCATAAAAGAGCCAAGGTTGCCTACCCTTGGGTTAAATAAAAGGTTTTGGCGAACTTTCTTGAGGCAAACTACTGAGATCTGATTCACCAATAACACTTTATTCACTCAATTATAAACCATGTTTCGCAAGCCCACAGTTTCTGTTGTTTCGAGTAAGTCCTTTATTTCTAGTATTTCACGTATACTAGCAGCTATATACATATATGCTCATTCAAATGTGAAATATGCATAGAATTACTGGAGAAGGGGAGGTTTGCTATATTAGTTTTAGTTGGAATTGGCAACCCTAGAAGTTTCTTTTTGAGGGTGGTCTATTCTTCATTACAGAAAAAGTCTTAATTCCTGTTTTTGTTTTTCTTTTCAGATAAATGTGGTATTCCATCCCAACCATAATAAATCCAGGTGTTCTTACCTTCAAGCGTTTCTCCTTGTTTAGAAAGAGCCTCTCCTGCTCCAGATGCATAAAGAGCAGTTACTGACAAATCATATTTTGTCCCTGGTTCCAAGTTAGTGAGATCTGTACTGGTAGTGTCTCCCCTTACGGTTATCTCTTTAGGTTCACCTCCAATCGCTGGAGTATACGTGACAAGATACTGCTGCACTTTGCCAGGTGCTGAATTCCAAGATAGTTTCAATGAGGATGTTGTAGCATCTGAAACTTGCAAGTCTCTTGGTCTTCCAAGCACTATATAGGATAAATTAAAAAAGAAAAAACCTTAGGAGCAAACCAACAAAAACATTCCAAGAACCATTTTCTATCTTTAAGTTCTGTGAAACAGTAGTGAAATAAATTACTATGACACTATTATTTTTTGTAATACAATCAAACCTTTATTTAATGAACTAATTGGATGGGTGGGGAAACCACTATTCCCAAATGTTTCAAATCCAAGTCAGTCATCTGCATTAATTGACATCATTTGTATAATAAGGTCATTACACTAACACATACATTGATGTGTGATGTTAATTTGTATCATTTGCATAATGAGCTCATCACTGCAGGCATGTTAAAATATAGAAAAGGTGAAAATTAAGATACATTTAAATGTTTCATCTGGACTTTTTTTATTATTTTAGACAGAATTACCAAATGGAAATTTGGTCCATTGTATCTGAAGTCTTTAAATGGGGTCTGCTAAATCAAGTTTTCCCATATAAGCAAGAGATATCAGATAGCACTGGTATTTAGTGTCAGACAAACAACACAGTAATACATGAAAACCATAGCTGTCTATCTTAAGTATGGAATTAGGGCATGGGACATCATGACACAAACTCCAACTCTTCTGTACTTGGGTACAGTGTCACAACGCAAGTGCACAAGGGAAAGTTTCATTATTTTGACATCATTGTGCCTAGGGAATAAATCTCTATGCTGAAAGCTGCAGTTTTAGGGAGAAAGAAGATAAGAAATAGGGATCTGCTTGGTCACTGGAATGAAATTTAAAAGATACAGATATATATTATTGCTAAAAAGAAGTGTGCCTCTACAAAGAACCTGAATTCAGAGATTGGTAAAGACATGTAGATATTTGTGCCTTAATATGCAGTAATTAACACACTCAAGATGAGACATGTCAAAGCAATTATTCTGCATGCTGCCAATGAACCAGTGAGATGTATCATAGCTTCCTATTACAATGAAGATAAGCTAGTAGACTTTTATTGCTATATCCTACATTAAAATGCATTTGACTACAAAAGCAGGATGTACCTTCTTCAGTTTTCCCATGTCCATCCAATGGATTTCCAACTCCAGACAAGTACTCAGCAGTTAAGGAAACTTCATATGTTGTATCAGGCATCAGATTATATAGAGTGGTTGCCCTTTCATTTGCTGGGATGGTTACTTCTCTTGTTTCCCCACCAGTAACTGGTCTATATGCAAGTCTGTATCTGAGAACATCCCCTGGGGCTGGTGACCATCCAACTTTAAAACTATCCGTTGTTTCATCAGTTACTCTCAGGTTTCGTGGAGATCCTATGACTAAAAATATTTTTTCCAAAAAGCATAAATATTAGGTCTATGTTTTAATTCATCTGAAAATAAATATACAAATACAATCTTGCTAGGTTATACGATCGTTATCGTTCTGTTCATGCTTTAACACTTTTTGTCAGCGCTATCTAACATGGACAGTATCCAACTATAGAATTACCTTCCCATGGAAGTTTAATTGGGGCTGTATCCAAAACTGTTTATTTGCCCAGGAATTTTACACTGATCAGCTGTATAACAAAGAATACCTACTACATGCTAGACATGAGGGGGAAAAAGTGGATTGATTAAAGACTTTACAGCATTCTAAAAACCTAATAGTAAGATATATAAAGAGTTTAACAAAAATATCAGCATGCAGAACTAATAAGGTATAAATGATGAAGCGGAGTGAATGTTCTGATAAAAATTTAATGTAAAATAGTTTCTGTTATCACATGGGGTTATTTTTCAAATTATAAGTTCTATAGTCCTGTAAATGTTAAATTGCTTTATCATAAACGATGCCCAAATACACACACACACACACACACACACACACACACACACACACACAAACAGCTAACAAGTGAAATGTATATCTTTAAAATTAGAAATTATACTCAAGAATTTTAAATATATGATATTAGGATCATAATCCTCTTCTTTCTATTCACAGTCCAAATTAAAATTTTATCATTGTATGCATATTTATTTTATTGAGATATGCATTTACTTCAAATAAATGCAGTTTTCTTGAAATAAATACATTATATATTGTTCTGTGTCTGTCTTCTGTTCATAAGGCAATGGGAAAGTTTGCTGCCATTTCTCATTTAACAATATATTTCTCCTCATATGAACTGTTAGCTATTATCTGGACATAATAAAATTGGATTCATACATAATTAACTTTCAACTGCTGGTTTTGTTCAGGAGCAACCACTTTAATTTGGTAACAAACATTTGGATCTCTATATTAGGGTTAAAAGAGAAGAACAGAATCAAGGCAATAGGAATGATACCTTCTAAAGTTGTTTCATTCCCATTCAGTGGAGGTCCATCACCATCTTCATATTCTGTGATCACACTGACAGAATATGTAGTTTTGGGTAGTAAATTAGTAAGGATTGTGTTAGTCACTGGAGCACGTACAGAAACACTGACTTCCTCTCCACCAAGAGCCTCTTTATACTTGATAAGGTAAAACAAAACATTTTCTCCTGCTGGAGACCAGGTAACTTTGAAACTGTTAGAAGTCACTTCAGAAAATTCCAAGTTCCTTGCAGGTAAACGAGCTGTTAAAAAATAACAGTTTAGTAAGCAAAGCACAGTTAGATAAATGTTTTAAATTCCAGTGAGGAAAATCTTGATTTCTTTATGTAGAAAAGTCTATATGGGGAAAAATGTGATTTCTCTATGCAGTAAAGACTTGTTGAGCTTGCTTGTTGCTTGCTGAGCTATCCATACCTTAAATAAAAACATATATCTGAGTAATCTTACTCTAAAAAAATAGGATTTTTTTCTAGCTAGTGCTTCATATACACTAACTAGATAATAACCACAGCATGACCCTTGAGCAGTGGAAAAACAAAAACAAAGAATTACATTAAAGCAAATATCAGCTAAACCTCAGTTAAAACACAAACTACTGGACATAATACACTAATGCCAGAGATCCCCATTTAACATCCCACTCATTGCCTGGAGGAAAAGCCATGTCTTCATAATCATCTACATTGGCTTAAGTACCTATTAAAACAGAGATGGTGTATTCAATAAATTTAACCAACTGATACACAGACTTCGGAAATATTCCATTCAATTTTTCAAGAAAAGAAGAGAGTACAGTAATATTTATTGTGGAAGAGGCACAACATACTCTACTTAAATAAATAGCAGCAAGCCCATTCCTACCCAACAAAAATCCAATTCTTTGAAACCAATGGTATCCCAGTAATGAAGAATCAAACCAGCTAGCACAGTGCTAATATGAGTCTATACCATTCTGATCTCAAATCAAAGCAGATAATAGCTTAAATTAGTAGCAATTTAATTGGAGAAGGAGGCCATGGTGAAGAGTTCTGTTTCTTTCATTTGCACATCTCTATCTAGTATCTGAAGTTTATCCAACTCTTTTTGGGAAAAGCATTGGGCAGGCAAGAAACAAAGGAGCTGAGAATCAGGAAAACTCTAATCCAGAGCCTGCTATACTGTCACCTGGCTAGGTGACTTTGGTAACTAAGCCTGTACATTGTAGAATAACCAAGTTGAAAGAGCATTTAGGGCACCAAGTGCAACCCTTTATTCAGTGCCAAGGATAAAATTTAAAGCATTTCCAATAGTTGGCTGACTATTCTGTACATGAACACCTAGAGGGGAAGGTGAACACATTACTTCCCTGAGTGAATACTTCCACTGTCAAACTATTCCGACTGCCTTCTACAAACTTAAAACATAACACTCCACACCCTGCCCTCTGGAACATAAAGAACAGGTATAGAGGTATTTACTTTCTTTTGTGTGATATGCCTTCCAGAATTTAGAGGGTGCCCTTCTCACATGCAGTCTTCTTTTTTCAAGACTAAATACCCTTAGCTCCTTCTGTTTTTTTTCTAGTCTCCTAATAATTCTCCTTATGTTTCTGAACCCCATTTCATTTTCCTTGAATCTTTAAAGTGGAGTGCCCAGAATTAGGCAAAATACCCAAACAGAGTTTTGGCCAAAGTAGAATAAAATAGAATGATTGTAACCTATCAATTGAAAGTTATACTTTAGCGGAGGCAATCTGAAACTGCATTTGTCTTTTGGCTGTCTGTTCACACCACAGACGTCACAACTACTGCACAGGCAAAATTAATAACAACTTATGTATTTATTTCATTTATATGTCTCCAAATCAACCATAGACTCATGCTGCTTTATAATAACAATCAGCAATAAAAACAGCCAGAGAACAGAACCAAAGTTAAAACATCCACAATAAAGTATAAAATAAAAACAGAATTAACCTACTTATCTGAAGTTTATCCAAAAAAATGCACAAATATAATAAAAATACCAATTTTAATACTACTTAACCTCTATCTTCATTGTCAAAATCACCATTAGTCAATTGCAAAAGGCAGTTTTACTTGGAACAGCTTCCATCCTGCAATAATACCTTTATTTAATACCAACAAACATCCACCATGTCTATCCTAGCTCTTTGAAAAGAACTCAACAGGTGGATAAAAATGCCAAATCCAGTCTAAACATCTGACTACGCAATGAACAACAATAATAATTTACTTGGTTGGAACAGCATAAATTAAATTAAAATTAAAAAATATTCTATTTGTTTTTTTCTAAAGATAGTTATCTTGGATCCTATTGAATCTCCATCATGGAGAGGATTCTTCCAGTCATAGGACATTCCTTCCAATTGAAGGGAAATAATATAAACTGACTTTCCCAAACTGAGCCTTTTAGGTATGTCAGATTAGACCTACACACCGAAATTAGGTATGTCAGACAGACTAACACCCAAAATTAGTCCCCACTGGTTTCTATGGCAAAGGTCCATTGAGTTAAAAAGCCTGAAATCTTTTTTTTTTTTTGCACATGATCAGACAAAGTGGAGAATTTGACACTTGTATACACAATCTTATATAGGAATAGGCCAGGGGTAGGCAACCTTGCTCTTTTATGACTCGTGGACTTCAACTCCCAGAATTCTTGAGCCAGCATAGCTGGCTCAGGAATTCTAGGAGTTGAAGTCCACGAGTCATAAAAGAGCCAAGGTTGCCTACCCCTGGAATAGGCGTTCAAATCTTATCTTCTTCAAGGAGGCGTCAAGCAGCCGCAAGGAGGCCTTGCAAATGCCAGTAGCTGCCTCACTCTGGCACCCCTCATCCACAGTGAGAGGAAGGAGATGGCAAAGGTCAGCTGGGGTGGGGTGGGAGGCAGAATGCAGGCCAGCCAAGGGGGTTGGGGTGACAGAGAGATAGTCAGGTTGGAGGAGTTGAAATGCACGCTGTGCTCGCAAATGCAGGCAAGGCTGCCAAGCGCCCAAATTTTGATCACTTGACCATAGAAACACTGCAGCAGATTGGACTTCAGGGACCAGCCGTAACTACCAGTTGTTCAATGTAGGTTGCTCTATTAATTTCCCCCCCCCTTTCCTTCCCATGCTGAATTTCTGACTCTTTTAAATGATACCACTCAATATTTCAAAAACATTACTGGCTGAAATAGAATGTTTTCCCCATTTTTATTTATGGAGTGGGTTAATTATTTGTATCAAAAAATGGTTTAGAACATAACATTTACTCCCTCGTTTCCCGGTCATTCAATGATAACAGAGAACATCCACTGTCAATCATCATGGCTATCCATAATCTAGTGGTGTCCCATGATTTAACCCTTCCCATGAAAGCTTCTATCCTTCAAACACAAGTCCTGCTTTTCACGTCCATATTATGTAACTCCTCCCTGTATTGGTTGGGAACATATATGATTGCACATAGTAATTTTCACCATAGCTCCATATGGCTTTTATCTGGCAATGACCTTCATCCATTGCTAGAAAAAGAAACAAACCTAAAACAAGTCATGTGTTATTTTAGAAGGTTTAGAACCTGCCTCCAGGAGCAGTGAATGCTCCAACACTGGAAGTTTTTAAAGAAGAGACTGGACAACCATTTGTCTGAAATGGTATAGGGCAGGGGTAGGCAACCTTGGCTCTTTTATGACTCGTGGACTTCAACTCCCAGAATTCCTGAGCCAGCCATGCTGACTCAGGAATTTTGGGAGTTGAAGTCCACGAATCATAAAAGAGCCAAGGTTGCCTACCCCTGGTATAGGGTCTCATGCTTGAGCAGGGGGTTGGACTAGATGACCTCCAAGGTCCCTTCCAACTTTACTACTACTACTACTACTACTACTACTACTACTACTACTACTATTGTTATTATTATTATCATCAAAGGAACACGATCAGAAGTCATTGCCAGAAAGTGCCTTAAACTTTAAACAAAACATTGGTGAGCTATATAGGGATGTGGAAAGTATCCAATACATATGATCAAATCATGTTCACAACAGTCCATAAACTGTGCTTTAAGCGGTCATTTCCCTTAGAGTAGTAGTAAATCATACTGCTATTATCTGAAGATAAATACTTCAGATAAATACTTCAGAAAGTATTTTCATCACGCATGTCTACATGGGAAGAGTGACCTACCTTTTTTTTTAATCTCTTCAAGTTCCTGTTCAATTTGCAAACAGAGGGACTGTGTAAGTTCAAATGATATTCTTTGAAAAGCATCAAAATCTTCCACAGTGTAGACATGGGTGTCTGCAGGGGGTGTAGCAATTGCTTCCAACTCAGACCGCACAGCATCCTTAACACCGACTGCAAATATTTCTACATTTGCGTTCCTCAGTTTTATGGCTGGGTCTTTAAAAGCATCGGATGATTTTCCATCAGTAATAAGAATCATGACTCTTGCAACGTTCGGTCTTGCACCCCTGCTTGGGATGAGGACTTTTTCTCTTACGTAGGTCATAGCTTTGCCTGTGTTTGTAGATCCACCTCTGTACGGGAAGGTATTAATAGCTCGAATTACATCTTCAATTTTGTTGTATCTGTTCAAAGGAAATTCCGTATATGGATCCCTGCTGTACTGCACAAGGCTTATTTGGACTTTTTCAGGTGAAATCTCAAAGCTTTTAACTAACACTTCTAAAAATGCTTTTACTTTAGCAAAATTGGCAATACCAATACTGTAGGAGCCATCAACCAATAGCACAATATCCGCTTTTACATCTATTCCTTGTGCACATTCTGTAAAAAGAAATATGGGTATTTAGTATTGATACATAGCAACAATTGCTTCTTTCACCTGGCTTTTAACGAACAACATTGTTTTTTCTAGCTCTTCATATGCCATTGACTTGTATTCCATTAATATTACAGAGCTACTGTAAATACATGTATTTGACATGTTAACCACTTTGATTTTTCTGGAAAGTAGCGGTATATAATTGTTGCTGTTAGTTAGAAAGTAAGAACTCTTCAATTATCTGAAGCACAGGTAGTCCTCAACTTATGCCACAATTGGGACCAAAATTTCTGTTGCTAATCATGCTAGTTGTTGAAAGAGTCATACCCGATTTTTCAACACTTTTTGCCACAGTTGTTAAGTGAAATCACTGCAGCTGTTAAGTGAATCACACGGAACTTCCCCCACTGATTTTGCTTGTTATAGCTGGGAAGGTAAAATGGCAGCCACATGACCCTGAGATGCTGCAATGTCATAAATACATGCCATTTGCCAAGCACTTGGATTTTGATCACACGATGATGGGTATACTGTGATAGTCATAAGCCACTTTTTCCAGTGCCATTGTAGCTTCGTACAGTCACTAAATGAATGGTTGTTAAGTCGAGGACAACCTGCATCTATATATTCTAGCATCCTGTTTCCAACAGTGCAAAATTAAATCAATGAAGGAAAAAAACCAAAGAGAAAATAACACAGGTTGTATGAAAGAAATTCACAAAAGAACCAGCATAGCTCAATTGCTAGGCACAACCTATGACCCTTTCCTATTCTTTGTATGACTACACAGTCTAGATTCAAAGCACAAAAGGCAATTTGAAACATAGGTGGGTTTGCACATAACATCTGTCTGAACTGCTTTAAATTTAAGGCATGTTTTCCTGGAATTGGGAAGAAAAAGATACCTTCTTTAAGGTATTGCCAACAGGTACCCCACACAATCCCAAATCAGCTATTCTCCTTCAAATCTTGTTCACTACACACACTTACCGTGTGTGTAGCAACAGATTGAACAGTTGGCAGTTAAGAGTTTGTACTGACGTTTCAAAGATGCATCTGCTTGTAGATCTTTTTAGCTGATCAAGACTGGGATTTAATAACAACAGGCAGGAGAATTTTTAATTGTTTGGCTATTACATTTCCATTTCAGATTGGACCCTCCATAATTAAGTAATTGCATTTGTGAGCATGTGTTCCTTGCATTGCCAAAAAGTAATGCACTGTTATAATGAGATCACATTTTTACAATATATGAGAAGCCTGATTCAGAACAGGCTGCAGAAGAGTGGCAAAAAATTTAAACTCAGCATCTCGATTAAGTTCCTTGATCTTGCTGTAAACAACCAAAAGGAAGTCATGTTTATTTTTATTTATTTATCTTACACTTTTCTATCCCACTGCAATCAAAAGACTCTTGGCACCTTCCAGAGAATGTGAGCTGGTACCAGGCAGAACAGATCTAAGTATTTCCATTCAAAAGTAAATCTCTGTTTAGTTGGATTCTTGTAACGTAAAACTGAACAGGCATTAACTTAACTTTTTCAGTAGGTCTTAAATTAATTCTTACAAAAAAATATGCTTATTTGTTTCCTAGTTGAAATTTCAGTAAGTTGGTTTTAAGCTAAGAAGTTACAATTATGTTGTTAGGGTTTGCTTTGCAGAAGTATCTTTCTGCGTTTTGTTAGGTCGAGAAGAGAGCTTTTCCTTATGTTGGAAAGCCTTCCTTAGAGGAAAAGACAGGGCCAGTATAAAGAGTTGCCCATATGCCCATTGCTGACTTCTATGACTTTGGAGAGTCCAGTGTTGATATTCTGTTACTCACTGAGCATCTCCCCACCTTTCTGTCTACCAGGGTTTGTACCACATTCTGCTTATATCTATTTTTTTCCGGTCTAAACAAGACTGGAGTAAGAGATGTTTCATAGCCAGAGGAAAATAACGGGCAGAGGTAACAACCAATCAACCACATTAAAATACTTTCAAAAGAGTCCTCTATTTGTGTATATAAGGAGTCTGTTTAAGACCTGACAAGCATACAGGTCTTTCTTTACAGCCACAACTATCAAGAGCAGTTCTCAGTGACCAGAGGAAACTAGGTGTGCCCACAGCAGCCAAAAATGGTTAATAGGTTCTAGGAAGATCCCAACCGCTGTAACCACATTGTCATTGAAGTGTGCATCAAACGAGGAAAAAAAACTCTTTAAAATCAGAGCAGTTAAAGATAGCTTCAAGCTGCCCCAGCTTGTGATTTTGGGTGAGACAAAAGCAACATCACGAGGACGTGGTATAAAACAAAAACAAAAAAACAGTTATGGGAGTATATTTGCACCTTAAATGGAGGGATGTGAGAGAGCCCTAAATTCCCTGACAACAATTATTTTTTACTTCAAACATAGTTTGGGCCTTGATTGACTCTTTATCCAGCTGTGTATATTCTTTTTTTAATTGAATCTAGTACCATCACCGCATTTTGTAGAATCAACTCCATAAATTAATTGTAACATATATTTTAATTTATTAAAATATAATTTACCTTCAATCCTTTTTGCTCTGGTCCTTTTTGATACTTTTTAAAATTGCTATCGTAACAGTTTGGGTGTAGGCCTCAATAGGCCACAAAGATTGAATATGTTATTTTGTCCAAGAATGGAATAGTCCATCCATGGTGCAGAGGATTTGATTTATTTCTGATAACGCTTCAGTTCAGAATGCTTGATCTCAAAAGTTTTTGTCAGCTTATGTAACAAGATTTTTTTAATGTACTATTTTTCTCTGTAGTATTTTAGTTTTGTATAACTTAGCTATTGACATATAATAGATCATTTCAACGACAATGACTCACCGATTCGAACTTTTACTGGCTGTGTTTTTTCCATTATAGACACTGGTTCACTGGAAGCCAGCCCTTTCATGGCATAAACATTAATTTGGTATTCTGTATCTGCTGAAAGTTCTTTTATATTAAAAGCAGTAGTTTGTGGTCCTACATTCACTGAGAATTGTTTGGCACCAGCTATCATTGGAATAATGTCCACCTTATAACCAGTTATGTCACTAGGAGATGGATCCCAAGTGATTTTGATAGATCTTGATGAGATTTGTGAGGCTGCCAGATTTGAAGGAGGTTCTATAGCTGTAAAATGAACAAAAATGCCATAAATATGTCCTTGAGCAAAGAGATAATGCTAAATATATCTACCCCCAAAATAGCCCATGGATAAATCCTACATTAATTGATATCATTTTTCTAGTCAACCTGATTATAGAACTTATCTATGAGCTGAATCAAGTTTACTAATAAATGTGGACTGGATTATGTATATTTATTGTGGAATGACATTGGAACATCATAGATGGTGAAAAAGAGATCAATCTCTCTATATTTACTCAGACGTTAGGGGTGCTGAGTTCAGTGGAACTTATTCCCAAGAAAATAATCTTGACTACTTAACACATCGTCATAAGAGTTCAATTAAATACAATGGGACTATTCTGAGCAGAGATGTATGGGACTGTTATATAAAAATAATAGGCTTTCACTGGCTTCTTTGTTTGCATAATTAAAAGGAACCCTCCTTAGCTGATTCCAGATAATGAAGTTTAATCGCTGCCACAGAGCTTTCTAAATGAATATAAGGTTGGAAACTGAATATAAAAGTCCCAGAAAGAAACAAAAAACTTAGATAAATCTCAATATTCCACTTGAATATTTTCAGAGGACTGATATTCACCCAGACTTTTTTTGCTGACTTGCCCAAACATAAAGGTATTGAATTCAAGGTACCAGAAGCTAATGAGAGATCAAGTGCAGTTACGATAGATACCTTATTCCAATCCCATTTCTGACAGAAGTAATCCACAAGTACCATGATCAATCTTGGTCCCATACCTAGACTTGAAACCTGACTAAAAGAGGTCCAGAAAATCTATACCCTCCAGGATTCTCTGTAACTGCAACCTTCTCAATTACTTTCCCTAAAAAGACTAGACACAGAACAAAAAATGTCCAATATGATTGGATTCATTGATGGTTTCTTTAATGGCACTATGGTCAGAGGTCAACTGAAGAAACCAACCAATCACTGAGCATGATAAATTAGCTTCAAAACTGCTCAGGGAAAAATTAATTTGGGTTAATTTAAAATTAAAGCTAATTAAGAGGTATGATTATTCCTACTGTGTTTAATTATTTTTCTCTACAATAGGTAAAAAATATTGAAGTGACTCTGAGAGCTGCCATTATATATTTTAGGAACTTCGGGCAGCCTTGGAGCCTCAAGCTCTACCTTACTACTCTTTCAAAAATGCTTTAGGGCAGACCAAATCCTCATTGCCTTGTTAGCCAGAAATATTAGTCAGGAAATGAAACTGATACTTTTGCTTTCCCATTATTACAGCTGTATATTTACCCACGGATGAAGTTAATTACTGTGATAATTCAAAAAAAATGTTTACCTTCTTCTCCGCTAACCAAGTCACCCAACTGTTCATCAACTCCTGAGCACACCTGTGAGACAATTTCATTCTGAATATCCGCAATGCCATCAAAGTTGGCTACATTAAAAACATGTGTCAGTGAGGGCTGGGATGCCATTAACTTCAGCTCTTTGGCATCTGCTGCTTTTATTCCTAGAAAATGGTAGAGATAACAATACTAAACAAGTCTGTCCAATCTTGTTGCACGTAACCATTCTTGTATTTGAGACTTTCCATAGCTAATGGTGGTGGGAATTCCGAGATAGGAAACCTGGCTTAATTTCCCACTTCTGCCTTTTTCCTACATTTATTTATTTGTAAAATTTATTTGCTGCCCATCTCGTATCCAAACGACTCTGGGCGGCTACATTACTCTTGATATAATAAAAGTCTTCTATATCAACCCTTCAAACTACCCATTAGTGCTGAGATAGAATGTCCACTACTCTTATTTCCCCAATTTTACTATATAATTATTTATACTAGATGAAATAATCTCTTTTTACTTTCTCAGCACACAGATTGTTATTCTCTTTATTATACATGGACATCCATAGTCACGCAGCAACAGGAGTGTATTGTACCATCATTATACTAAATCTACATAGTGTATCAAAAGAAGAGCACAATCATAGAAAAATACATTTTGGGGGGATCTTAGGCAATCAGGTTTAAACTATTTATTCAGCAAAGCAATGTTTTAAAGCATCCTACTTTTCTTGATATTACTGAAATTGTATAAAATAAAAGTGATTTGGGGATTATTTTAATCTCTATAAAGTAACCTTATAACAATTTATGATATAGCTGGCATTCTACTTCCAAGTTTTCCTTAAATCTAATCAGCTAGGGAAGTGCATTTTTATAACAAGCAAAATACATAGCTTTAAATTTCTCTCTGTGAATAAATTGCAATCATCAACAACAACAATATAAAATTGAACATACCCAAAGAAAAGACTTCAACTCCAGAGCTACGAAGTTCTCTTGCAGGAATTTCTACTTCATCCTGAGATTTTCCATCCGTAATGATAATTGCCACTTTGGGAAAGCCATTTCTTGCTCCAGCAGACTCCGTAAATGCATTTCTAATCAGATAATCAATAGCTTCCCCTAAAATTACAAAACAAATTGTAATTTTTTAATCAAAATCATTAATGCTAAGATCAAATTCAAATTATAAAGCCATAAAAGAGAACACCACCCACCACCCCCCAAAAAAGAAAGAAAAATGGCAGATATCTCATTATCATTCAGGCTTTCTACATGATCAGAGGGAAATTCATACCTGTCATGGTATTGCCTCCTTTATATGGTATTCTTCTTATTGCCTCAACCAGATCTTTTTTTCTGAAATACTGATTCAAATTGAATTCAGTCCTTGTATCAGTACTGTACTGGACTATTCCAACTCTTGTCTTATCTTCTCCAATATCAAATGCTGATACAAGAGTAACGATGAAGTCCAATATATACTTAAAGTTATTTCTGCCTACACTCCAAGAACCATCCACAAGAAAAACTAGATCTGTAACAGCACTAATGGAACACTCTGAAACATAATGAAACAAAATTATTAATTAACCCTCACATATTCTAAATGTTTGATTTATCTGATAAATGTATTTTTATGTTGATTAACCACCTGTTGCTTGGAGGTACACTGAGAGCTTATGCACCGAAGACAAATTCCTTCTGTGTCCTATCACACTTGGCCAATAAAGAATTCTATTCTATTCTATTCTATTTCTATTTCTATTTCTATTTCTATTCTATTCTGTTATTTGGGGTCCATGAGCATGAATCAGATAGCTAGAAGATATTTATGCATGTATCCATGCATCCCTTCAAGTCATGGTGGACTCCTGGGCAACTGTTTGAACTAATCCCTGCAGTTTTCTTGGCAAGATTTTGGAAATGGTTTGCCACTGCCTGCTTCTTATGGCTGATAAAGGGTGACTGACCCAAGGTCACTCAGGTGACTTTGTGGGTAAGGCGATACTAGAATACAAAGTCTGCCAGTTTCTCCTGGTGTCTTAACTATTACACCAAACTGGCTGTGGACAGAAAATAGTGAGACAGCAATATACATACATTCCAACTTTGAACTTATGGAGAAATTTTAATAATCCAGGGGAAGTTTACTCTCACAGAAAGGGAAATTAATTTCCCTTGCCTTTTGCAGCCAATCCTGGACCACCTACTGTGCTGCTTTAAGGTGGTCCTGGAACTTTCAGTAGGTGCAAAGGACTGAATATCAGTGTAACTAATGACTTTGAACAGCTAACATCACATAAAAATACAGTATCAAATATCAAAATATATTAATGTACAATCTTAAAATGGAAGCAGAAAACAAATCCATTTAACAATAAGATAACAGCATCTCACGGGCTTTAGACAAACCACCCACTCCATGCCCAGGATAGTTGTCATATTCATCTCTTATTACATGAGTAAGGTAAAGAAAGTACATTTGATGATTCATTGAAATCGGAATCAGTTTCCACTCTGTTTATTGACAAAAGGGTTCCTCTGAATCAAATCTGAAATGGTTGCCATGACTCCTGAGCCAAACAAAAGTCAGTCTGGGGATAGTTAGATCAAAGGATAAAATAAAGGAGAAGGGGGAAATGCCCAAAGCATGGGAACAAAAGTTTTTATTAAAAAAAAGTTCATCTCCTTGGCCATCAAGAACAAGCATGAATCAAATAATGATGCACATAAATCTTATACACTATAGAATATGACTAAGACGGAAAGGGATCTTCTGTTTCGATCTTTTCCAATGTGATGCTTTCATATTTGTTGGGACTTCTGGATTTCTCAGTCAAAACAATGAGGATTATAGGAATTGAATGAAAGCATACCTAAAGGTCCTAGGCTTTTAAAAAATATGCTTTTTCCCCAGCCAGTAAAAATGCATTGTGAAGAGTAAAAACACATTTGTGTATCTCTAGGCAGTTTGGTTATGCTGGTTTAGAAATGGATGCCATATATCAGAAGCAGCAACGTTACAAAAATTACTTACTTTGCAAATTGATTTCTTCAACCTTCTTTACTCCTGTTGTTACAAAGCCACCTGTTTGAACTAGAACAGAACATACAGCTTAATAAAAAATAAATAAAAATCTTCTCAGAATCAAAGGGTTGCTTTACTTTTTATGGATCTCTGAAACTGTAATGGGAGAACAGAATGTTGAATGAAGCTGCAAATTATATACAAATGGTGCTACTACTACAAAGCTCTAGCAGCAAGTGGTTAGAATACCATATTGCAGGCAAACTCTGCCCATAGCCTGGAGTTCAATCCTGACCGGCTCAAAGTTGACTCAGCCTTCCATTCTTCCCAGGTCAGCAAAATGAGGACCCAGATTGTTGGGGGCAAGATGCAAATAACGCTTCTACACTGTAAACTGCCCAGAGAGTGCTGTAAAGTGCTATGAGGTGTTATGTAAGCTTAAGCATTATTGTTATTGCTACTACTACAAATAACAATAACAATAATAGAGTTGGAAGACCTTTGAGGTCTTCTAGTCCAACCCCCTGCTCAGGCAAGAAACCCTATATCATTTCAGACAAACGGTTGTCCAGTCTCTTCTTAAAAACTTCCAGTGTTGGAGCATTCACAACTTCTGGAGGCAGGTTGTTCCACTAATTAATTGTTCAAACTGTCAGGAAATTTCTCCATAGTTCTAGGTTGCTTTTTCTCTTTTATTAGTTTCCATCCATTGATTCTTGTCTTGCCTTCATGTGCTTTGGAGAATAGTTTGACTCCCACTTCTCTATGGCAATCTGAAATATTGGAACACTGCTATCATGTCACCCCTAGTCCTTCTCTTCATTAAACTAGACATATCCAATTCCAGTAACCTTTCTTTGTATGTTTTAGCCTCCAGTCCCCTGATCATCTTTGTTGCTCTTCTCTGTACTCTTTCTAGAGTCTCAACATCTTTTTTACATCGTGGTGACCAAAACTGGATGCAGTATTCCAAGTATGGCCTTACCAAGGCATTGTAAAGTGGTATTAACACTTCATGTAATCTTGATTCTATCCCTTTGTTAATGCAGCCTAGCACTGTGTTGGCTTTTTTGGCAGCTGCAGCACACTGCTGGCTCATAATTAAGTGATTGTCCACTAGGACACTGAGATCCTTCTCACAGTTATCACATGGATTTTTTGAAATCTACATTCAGCATATTCATTTGCTAATTAAAACAAATTCAGTCCAACCTTAAAAGGTAGAAGTCAAATGTCTACATATACTACATATGTTAGTCACTCAGTACCGCCTCACATCTCAAGTTGAGCGCCATATAAATTTGACAAATGACAAATTAAAATATAGTAAATATATCTTTGTAGCAGTATTGAAAATATATTCCAAGCAACATCTTGATCAATTTTACAAACTTACTTGTAAGTTGTCCAGTGACAGGTACACTTTCTTCTACAGCATCATATGAATTTATTGTTACAATATATTCACTATCTGGTATGAGGTCTGTTAACAAAGTTTGGGTAGCTGTATCCGTTAAGGTAAATTCTCTACTTGAACCATCTGCAATTATACATAAAGAACATTTTCATAATCATAACTTCTAAATTGCATAATAACCATTTATTCAAAAAATTATACATCAAGAAACAAATGTTAAAAGCTCACAAACATTTGATTTCCTGAAAGAGCTACCAATAATACATTCACTGTGCGTAAGCTTTGAGCATTATCATGCATAAAAAGGATGAATTATTCTAATGTTAGCAAGCAGTCATTCAAATAAAGTTCTTATCCTATTTCTCTGATTATATACTGCTCAAAAAAATAAAGGGAACACAAACATATACGTTTGTGTTCCCTTTATTTTTTTGAGCAGTATATATATCTTAAGGCAAGGAAGCCAAATTCCAAGGGGGAACTAGGAAGTCTTTAAGGTCTTGAAATATCTTTTAAAAAAAATTAATGGCTTTAAGAACATGAACAGTAAAACAAAACAAAAATATCAGTAAAAATAATGTTCATACAATGATATAGATCAAACATATTTAGACATCAAATTCAATTGCCACTATACACAGTATGATCTGGTTCACACAGATCTGCCTAACTATGTGATCCATACTGAATAAACCAAATTAGCTGGGTTCACAGAATACAGTTATAAAGTATGGTTTACAAAATACAATGAATGGATTTCACACAATATATTTAGCCAAAGTCAAACAAACAAAATTAGACCATAGTGATGTATAAAACCAGCATTCCATCCCCTAAATATATTGTTATTAATCACTTAGGCCAGGGGTAGGCAACCTTGGCACTTTTATGACTCGTGGACTTCAACTCCCAGAATTTCTGAGCCAGTGTGGCTCAGCTTAGAAACCTCTCCCTTTCCCCTCAGCATGGCTGGCTCAGGAATTCTGGGAGTTGAAGTCCACGAGTCATAAAAAAGCCAAGATTGCCTACCCCTGACTTAGGCAGATGTGAAAAGAAACAAGGGACTTGTTAACATACAAGAAAAATAAGATCATCTAAACTGTCCAGAAAAGGAAATAGTAGAGGATAGACGAGATTAACAAAAGAGTTAGGAAACTGTTCTTCAAAATGCATCCCAGGTTATTATAACCCATTGCAAGGGGTTTATCCATACAGTACTGTGTGGTACAGACATTGTAGTATAATAGCTATAGTGTTGCTCTTAAACTGGGATGATTTGGGTTCAAGTCCCTACTTGACCACAAAATCCATTGTATTTTGTCATTCGGATACAGTGAGGAAAGGTCCCCATTGAAGTTGCCTTAGCAATCAAAGATAAGGCAATATAAAAATGTAATAAATATCTGCAGATACTTATTGCAGATACACATGATAAACCAAGTATTGTGATAGAAATACCGCTCCTTTCATACTTGCATGAAAATGTCACATACAAATACATAAGGGGCAGACGTTATTTTACTTTCTAAATGTCACTTATGCACAATATGGAAATCTGTCCAGCCATTGGCAGTTACTTAAGTGCTATATCGTATATGTCATTCATACCCTTTAAAGTACTTTACTAAATTAATTTTAATTAGTATCAAAAATCCAAAGTATGATTAGCTAAGATGATTATCTTAGTTGCCTATCTGTCAAAGAAAGTTTTTTCATGTTTCTGAAATTTCAACTTGCTGAAGTCACTTCTGAGTCTATTGGCATTTTTCTAATCAATTACGACTACAATTCCATTCATGCTTACTAAAGCATAAAAATCACTAAATTCAGGGCATCTTTCTGCTGCCTAGACCTGAATAAAATTGTAATGTAATTTTCAATACAATTTTTGACAAATTAAATATGGTCCTTTTAAATTTTTCATGCTGTATTTAGACATTTTGTATGCTCGCAATCAACTAGAAAGAAAGAGACAATTTAACAAAAGTACACTAATTCAGAGTTCAAGATTTTTTCTAAAAAAAGAACATTAAATCTTACCAGCTGCAGATTTCACAGTTATCCTGTAACCTTCTATTGCATCAGATGGTCTTGCCCATGACATTTGAACAGTATTTTCATCTATAATTTTAAATTTCAAGTCTGAAGGTGGATTAACTGCAAAAGATTTATATCAAGCAAACTATGTTTAAATGTTGAAGAAATTAATTCCATAATAATTTTAAAATATGTTAAGCAAAGCTTGCTAAGATGTGTCTTTGCATAAATTTGTTTCCAACACATATACAGATATGCTGTTGGCAAAAGGAAGATTGCAAGCTGATGAACATGACAAAACATATCAAAGAAAATATGCATCACAGAGGACAGCAACAGAACATTTGTTTCTTGAGTTGCCAAGTCATTCAAGAATGGCTAGCAGAATCAAGCACAATAGAAAACATATTTCAATACATGTACAATGAGTTCACAGATAATAATCACATGTGCAAACATTTTCACAAAACAATTAAAAGAACGTTCTTAACATGCTGGATGCAATTCATAAAAGCATGCCAAATCACAACCTGCTTGTAACACCATGAGATCTGACAAGAACATAAAATCCCTTTCAGCAGATCATCAAAGAATATATTACTCTTTGAAATTCATCTCTGCATGGTTGTATTTCACTGAATATGTTGTATGCAGAGATATATGCATTGTGGGAAATGTGGTAAGATTTAAGCGGGTCTTTGGGTCTCAATTTACATCATACCTAAATTAACTCATTTCCAAAAAGCCACCTAAGTAGCTTATCTTGTATATGCTGCTAATACATAAAATGGGAAATATTACTAAGAAAGTATTCAATATTTTCTGTCACAGTTGTATAAATATTGTACACAAAATCAAGTTTTCTGACTGTTTACACCACTCTGCTATACCAATCCTGAGGTGTAAACCATCCTTAGCATTTTTATGCTCTGTGTGTAGCAGGTGTTCCCATACTAAGAAATGGCATTTTAAAACAAAATGCCAGTATGGTATTTCACACAACAATTGTTAATTATGGAAAGACAACATCAAGATATATGTATAGACATTTATTTACAGGATGTAGAGAGGAAAACAAGGAAAAAAGCATCAGTGATCCAAACAAATGATTATATATCAATCTGTGGGAACCAGCAAGAAAATGAATTGAATGTAGTATAGAAAGAGTTTACATATGCTATCTAGCAGTAACATGCATTTGTGTTTCTATCTATCTATAGGTAGATAGATAGATAGAGATATATGATATATGATATCCATCTATCTATATATAGATACATGAAAGTCAATTTTATTACTTTAATTTACTGTAGCTTCCATAGTGGGCAAAAGCCTCCATGTACAAGGATCATTGCTAAAGACATTACATAATAATATTTTATAATGATATTCTCATGTTAAATCAGTCATGCAAAGTCATGCAGTCCTCTACTGATTCACTGTCAGTGCATGGTATACGTACTACAAATAGATACATTTTAACTACTGTACATAAGGTTTAATAAAGGCATATGAGATTCAGCCATACTTTTCTTGACACTTCAGACTGATTGGCAAACACCAATTAATATTGATTATACGCTACGTAGGTATATAGATAGGCATATTATCAGGATTTTCTTGAAAGATGTCCACTTCTACATAATTAAAAATGTTTTCTTTAAAAAACTATTTAACAGTGGACTATTTAAAAATCAGTCAATAAATGTTAAATACTGCTACAGTAACAATCATATTAATATAGCTCTGTTGATTGTAAGGGCATTGTGCTTTCCAAGTGATTTAACTCTTTAAAAACTAAATAAAAGTTTAATGCAGTTTGTGAGTTGGCCATTTCAAGATTTTTAAAATACCATCTGCTTCTTAATGGATTGCCATTTCCAATGAAATAGGATTACATGGCTTGGCATTGATGCTACCACAAGTAACAGTACTACAAGAACAAATGTTATTTTTCTCCTATTGTCCATACACAGGCAGTGAGATTAGAATATTAATTTGCATGCACAACTGATTCTTCATTCAATTTAAGGCACTCATACTAATGCCACCACAAAAAAAAAGCAATTAGGTAGTCTAACTCATGCAACACATGTTAATCATAACATTAACATTTTAAAGAATACCATTATAAAATATTCTTTCCAAACCAATGGCTCAGGACAAATTTAATGCAAAGGCAGAGACAAATGACCTGAGCATGCTTTTTCTTTTTAAAAAAATGAGTACATGGGAAAAAAAATAGCACCACCAACCTTGAAGGAAATTTGACCTGAAGCAGCAGAGGCCTTAGGCTGTAACTGCTGAAGGACAGCAGCAGCCTATCTTGAGGTGATCCAATGACCGGATTCGAGATAAACTGAAAAGGCCAACTGTGGGGAAAAGTCTTCAACATTTAAAAAAAAATCTGTAATCTGATTTACAAAAAAACTCAAATGTGGCACTTAGTTTTTCATCATGAATGTCACTCGTACGAGATTATCTGGTTATCTGCTATAGATGAAACGGCGCAACTTTTCCATAGAAGTTCATAAGAGATGTATTTCAGATTCCTAGATGTTACAGCACCCACTTCCACAATAATCAAATTCTGCCTGTGCCAAGTTCAGACAAAATGGAAGTTCAAACACTGAATCAAGGGCGACTTACTTCTAAGCTAAGCACACATTTTTTGCTTGGCCTAGTCTTTTTCTAACTTCACTCCCATTGAATTAAGTGCCTATTCTGTTTTCCTGTAACAGGGCAGCTTTAGAATTTAAATCCGGGATCCAAAGAATCATGCATCTTATTTGTTTATCCAAGAAGACTTTGGGGGATTTTCCTTCCAAAGCAAATTTGCTTATCCACTGCACAAAATGCTTTTTAAACTAGATGTTTATAAAGCAAATTTCTCTGACAGGGCATGGATACTTTTTTATATGTAAGAAAAAAGTTGTACAAATCCCACTTAGCATGCACAAGTCCTTGGTTATGCATAAACTAATTCTTTGGATCTTAGGCTGTCTCAGGTATCACAATAACATGGTGATTAAAGAAAGCTGTTTTCAGAATCACGTAAGAAAACAAGACCTGCTCAATAAAAGGGAGTGCAGTAAGCCTCCATTTTGATTATATTGTTTCCAGTAACACAAAAAATTCAAGTAATTCGTATGGGTCTATCTCAACAATGAAAGCTAAATTTCATGATAATTTTATCACATGGGATATCCTGCATACATACATACATATATATGTATACATGTTTGTGTGTGTGTATGCAATTATTTCTAACTATTACTACTTCAACCAAAATTAAAGAACTAATAGTTACTACATAACTTGTTCAGGCAATTGTTTTATCAGAACTAAAAAGAAAATAGATTCCATTTTTTAGATTATTTTGATAAATAAATGCAGTTGATTAAGATGTTAATAGATTTAACATTTAATTCAACAATAGTTAACAATTGCTGATTAAGTGGTCTGCACAAAGTAATCAGTGAGGTTCAAAAATAACACAACAGGACAGTAGATTCAAGTTTTACTCCCATAACAAAAAAGTTCAGTGGACTGTGCTTATTGTCTTATGTACTTATGTTAATTCTGATTTTTTTAGTATTTTATTATCTATGGGATTGTAACATTCTAGTACATTTCCAATTATATGTTTATTGCTTTAAGTACCTCTCACTGAAATTAAAAATGGAATGTGTCACACTGACAGGATATATTTATATCCATTGCTGATCTCTGGCTCATTTCTCAGTATATTTGAAGTTTGAGCTATTGTAATGGAAGAGCATATTAAGTGAAGAAAAAGCAGCCCCAAATGTCATGACTTGGGGCAACCCCGAAAACTGTCTTTTATTTAAAGACTTTTGTTTAAAAAAATAAAAAATAGAGGGGAAAAAATCCTGACTACTATTCATAAAAGAGTTTCAGGCAGTATGAAAATCAATGAGACACAAAACAAAGACGCATGCTTAGATGTGGATTTCTTGTAATTGTTTCTGCCTAAAAACAGTGCTCCTTCCAGACAACAATTCAAAGAAAAGAATCAAAATCATCTTACTATACCAAGAACTAAAGTCCTGCAGTCAGTGGTGGGATTCAAATATGTGAACAACCAGTTCTCTGTGTGGATGCCGCTTCAGGAAGTCCATTCTGGGCCTGGGCAACAGTGGTGCGAAAGTGGTGCGAACTGGCTGAATCCCACCGCTGCCTGCAGTCAGAACTGACAAAAAGTACAATCAAATTAGAAATCTGGAAATCAGAGGTTATAAGTAGTGTATTATATTATAAGAGAGCAAACAGCCAATAAAGAAAGATGTGTAGTTTGTAATCTTGCTCTTTTGGAAAGTTACCAGATATTTCTTTCCAGTATTTGGGATGAAGGCAGACAAAAAAAGAGATACGGCAGTGGCACCAAGATTATGATATATTATAACTGAGTATTTTACAAATGAAATATGAGAAATGAGCATGGAGCAGCAGTAATTCAAGAGAGAACAATTTAGAACATAATTTAATATGTAAAAAATGTAAAATGAAAACATCCACTTTAAAACATACAAAGAAAGATAATTATAGTGTCGTAAACTTTAATTTGTAAAATTAAGAAAACCTTCACTAAATTCTTCAAAAAACCAGTTTTTTTAAAAAAAAAATAGTTACTAGTGCTGAGTACATGCTCTATAGGTTTGACTGCATGTGGGCATGTTGAGTGAAGGGTCAAGCTTATTCCTAACATTTTCTTTAGCTCAATTGTCAACCAAATCGGGATTCTGAATTACTAGGACAGGGTTTCCCAAACTTGGCAACTTGGCACAGACTTCAATTCCCAGAATTCCCAAGCCATTCTCCATGCTGGCTGGGGAATTCTGGAAGTTGAGATTCACATGCCTTAAAGTTGACAAGGTTGGGAAGCCTTGCATCAGGGCAGGGGTGTCAAACTGCCAGCCCACGGGCTGGACACGTCACGCGGAAGCCGCACCCACCCCATTGCCGGCATAGCAAAACTGTCTTGATACGTTGCGTGACGTCACGTGACATCGCAGGTTTGACATGTCTGCATTAGGGGAATAAAACTGATTCCCTGTAATCTTCAAACTTTCTCTACTCTCCAAACAGGATCCAGCCATACATCACTATGGTGGCAAAGTCTGTAGCTATCATCTTATTCCTTTTCTCTGTTTGATTATTATCACAATGAAGTAATACCTTAGAACAACTGATCTTTGGTCTCTCCATTATCTTTATTACTTTCAGTAAGTAATAAATCCATTTTTTCAGCCTAAAGTGATATAACTCACCCTGGGGGGGGGGGTGTTACAGAACTAGCATCAGAACTTCAGTATGACTGAGAAACAATGAATACAGTTTGGGGCTGTGTAACTAAAGAAAACAGAGTAGTAATTAAAATGAAGTCTCCTCTAAGTTGAACTCAACTTTTGTGACTTCCTATGAAATTAATAAATAGTGCTTACTAATTGTTCTCACTGAGTTGTATAGGTTAACCACTAAGCCCTTGAAAATGTAACTGAGGAAGTCACTGAAGAAAATAATCAGAGTCACCCTGTTGCATGAAATCCTGAGAAAAATATCATTTCGAAGCCCATCCCAATTAGTCCACAGGTTTTTGAAAATATTTACAGCCCTGTATTATGTTTATAGTTCTTAATAGCATTCTTCAAAGCACAACCAGCACATAGTAATGAAAGCCTTCACTTTTTACTGATTCTAAGCCAGTGACCCTTTCAGTTCAACCTCCACCTAGGTGAGCACCAGCTCCATTCTTAAAGATAGCCTTGGAAGTTATTACTGAGCATGGCTATTATCTAAATTAAAGAACAACCAGTCCCTAAGCAGGGAACTGGAGCAAAGCAACATGCTCAAAGAAGGGTCTCTATGGATGGTGGGAGGATTCCCCTTCTTCTCATTCAATGCCCCTGGCAGCAGGGAAGGCATCTTAATACAGATTGTCTTCAACATATGACCACAATCGAGCCCAAAATTTCCATTGCTAGGCAAGACAATTGTTAAGTGAATTTCACCAGTTGCTAAGTGTCCAAATTTTGATCACATGATCATGGGGATGGTTCAATGAAAAACAGCCATAAATCAGTGCTGTTTTTTCAGTGCTGTTGTAACTTCAAATTATCATTAAACCAATGGTTGTAAGTTGAGGATTACTTATATGTGGTTCCTGAGGCCTCTGGGCTGACTTTGCCAGGTGCCATCAGCTGGGCTTTTGCCATTAATCCTTCACCTTTCTAAGTGTGCTGTCCACATCACATGCCTTAAATGCCCACCCTAAAAAAACTGATTGAAATAGCTACATAACACTTCTGTCCTTCATAAGAAGGTAGATTTCAATAACAGCAGCGAGAAAGTATTACCAAAATGAAAATGGAATTAGTATTCTGGAAGTTAAATCAAAAACTTAGGAAAAGGTATTATTTTTTCTCTCTCTTTGTGTGGTGTTAGGTAGGTTTGAGAGGTTCCCCAAACTCCTTCGCAGAATCCCAAAATGGGACGTAACATTATTTCATGTTACATGGGTGACTCTTTTAAAATGTTTTAGAAATGGTACTTGATGGATTTAGGAATTTTAAAAAAAATATTAGAAAAAGAAATGACATTTGCAAGGCACATTTTTCTCATCTATCCAATTTTAAATGTCTCCTTTAAAAAAAAGTTACAAGCAAAGAAATTGCTCTGCAGTTTTTCAGAGATTTTCATTTAAATCTCTACCAGCGTCTATACTGTTTTTTGAATTCCAGGACTGATTATGGTTTTTGGTTTTTCTGGAACATGTAATAAAAACAGAAGCTAGCAAAAAAAAAAATGGAAATGATTGATGAGATCAAGCCTCTCGGCATATAAAGAAAAGTACAAGTCCTGTCAGTTTCTGCAGGCAGCAATTTGAGAAATGTGGTCACAAGTTAAAATCAACTACAAGTTTGTCCATCATTTAAGAGGATATGTGGATAGGAATTACGGCCTGGGTTTCTTTTACAGAACTACCATTTTCACTCTGTGGGAGGTAAAGACATGTTCATTTTGTGCTCCTGCCTGAAGGTGAAGAGCTTATAAATTAGGAGCATTATTTCTCCAATATATAAGAATACTTACACAACACAAATCAAGAACTCTGTCCAAATCACAGGATTATCTTTTTTCATGTACAAAAAGGTCAGTGCAGTGCAATGACAAATTTGGCAATCCAACATTCTCAAGGAGGAATGAGATGGTTGGAGGATAGCTGAAATAGCTAAATGTCCTTGTTTGGCCACTTCTTCTCCAACTAGGAATGCTTTTGCAGGGCATATGTTTAAGTAGTAAAGCGATAGCAAGGAAGCATGATATTTGAAGTAGATGAGAAAGTATATTTAATTTATGTGATTAAAAGAGAAGGTGGGAAAACCTTCACAAATCTATTGTACAGTGTTTTCAAACGGTTAATCCAATGTGCTGAATGGGACTCAGTCTGTGTGGGAGCCCAGGCAGGAAAGTTTTTGGATGTCCCAAGGGACCCTGGTCTTGCTTCAAAAACAGGAGCCAGAATTGCTCATTCCTTGCTCTGTCCCAAATGAACTGACTCACCAAGAAGAGGACTTTCCTCCCCCTTTCATTCCAAACAAAACACACAGGCAGCCAGATTTTGTTGGAGTGCTTTATTTTATAAACGCTTCAAAATATTTTTTTTAAAAAAAGCAGACACACATATCTTGTATATATTTGCAGTACAAAGCAGAGCAATTAAGCATTGAGAGGGTGTGGACAAGTGCTTCGGGGCTTCTCCTGCTACTAAGGAGAAGTTTCAAGTTGGCACAGGAATCTTCCTTCTCCCTAATCACTCTTCAAAAGAAAGATAGAGAGAAAAGGAACAGCAGTGGCGGGCCAAGATCACAACGGAGATCTAGTGTGGACAGCACACCAGAAAGACAACAAAACAGGGAAAAGAGGAGAGCGACTCTGCTGGAGTCGCTCTAGAGAAATAAACAAACTACAGAAAGAAAGAGAACAAAGAGAGAGAAGAGGATATGAAACAACAGTCACCCTCAGAGAGCAACTGTTGCCTTGTTTAATTCTGCACCATCACTTTCATGGAATAAAGGACAGCGTTATTTACCTTGAGCCTCAATTGAACAAAGCAGGAGAGCTGCACATACGACTGCTACAGCTGTTGCACGGAGCCTTATCTTCATGGCTGCTGTTTTGTATCACAACCACATGAATAATTCTAAAAAAAAAGGAGAAGAAAAAATGGAGACTTAGTACAATGGGTTTTTTTTTTTTTAAGCAGATGAATGGAGAGGAAAAGGAGGGAAGTTCAAGATTAGCTTTCACCAATTTATGCATTCCAGTTTGGTAGGAACTTCTTTCATTCCCTTTAGTCTTCTGGGGTCTATCAGAATAGAGAAGAATGATTTACATCACTTTCTTCACCATAGTCAACTTTCCTTTCCAGCAAAAGCCCTTCCTTTCTCCCCTTCTTGCACCAAGTCAGAATATTTCAACAAGAAACTTTCCCACCCTCTCCAAATTCCAAAACTCCAAAACTCATCATTACTTGCTATTCCAGATTTAGGAATAAATTGACAAGTATATAGGTACACAGATAGTTCTTGCTTACCAATCATCCATTCAGCAACTGTTCAAAGTTGTAACAGTGCTGAAAAAGGCAATCAGCCAGACAGTATCCCTGCAATCACATTATTGTGATTTGGCAACCGGCACACTTTTATCTATCTATCTATTATCTATCTATCTATCTATCTATCTATCTATCTATCTAATCATGTTTTTAGACTACCTATCTCCCTCTCCCATTTATGATGGTCGTAGCTTCCCACAGTCATGTGATCAATATTTTTCATCTTCGCAGCCAGCTTCCTACAAGTGAAGTCAGTGGGGAAACCAGCAGGAAGTCACAAGTCACAATCATGTGACATGGTGCTTAGCGACCATGAATGATTTGAAGGATGAGTTAACAAACATATCTGTAAATGACACTGTAAGTTGGTGCATTCACGTGACATTTCACTTTAAAACTGTGTTGCTTAGCAATGGAGTTGCCAATTCCAACTGCAGTCAGTAAGTGGCCTCCTTCAAAAGAAATAATGAACTGGAAACAGTTCCATTAAAAGCAGAGCCAACAACCACAGAGGAATGAAAAGCCAGTGAGTAGACCGGCTTTTTGGATTTCCTCTCTGGACAAGGAAAGAACTTTGGAATGTCCACAAGCACCCCAGACAGTTGCTCTTCAAGAGGAGACCACAAGACAGTGATCTCCAGTGGGTTTAGAACTCTGACAGATGAGGAAATAGCCATTCTGTTCAAACCATAGTCAGTGACTTTAAAACAGTGGTTCTCAACCTTTTTAATGCCACGACCCCCCAACCGGTCATAAGTCGAGGACTACTCAACTGGTGCAGCACCGTTTGCAGAATGGGACTTTTGGTGGGCTCAGCAGGGCAGAGATAGCCTGGACAATTCCTATTGACTTTTGAAAGCCAATAGAATTAGACTCTATTCAAGAGAGTCTATTCTATTGGCTTTCAAAAGCCAATAGAATAAAAGGGAATAGCACAGCTAAGGAAAAGGGGGGAAAAAATGGCGGATTGCATTGTTTGGCGACCCCCATGAAATGGTTGTTCAACCCCAAATGGGGCCCCAACCCATAGGTTGAGAACCACTGCTTTAAAAGGACACTGGATTTATGTATTTCCTTTTCTAATCACTTTCCTTTTATCTTTTTAGTTTGTAGAAGTTTTCTATCAGTGTAATTGAAATTTTAAATGAAAATTACTAATACACTAATCGCTGTTAGTAAGTGAGGAATACCTGTACTTTCATGAGGTGTATGGAGTAAGATAATGGCAGCAAAGTAGCGTACTTATAGGAGTCTTTTAAATTAATGCATAATTCAAATTACATTTTCTCTAAATACGATAACATAATTCACCATATATTTCTTTAAATATCATCACATGCTACACCAGTTAATGAAGGAGAAATCAGTCCTCAGTTGCCTATCTTAAATGCTGTTCCAAGATGCCTTGCATAACTAGCTTCAGTGTGTGGCCGATTATACAATGAATAACCTCACCCTTCAAAATTGCCTGGCAAATCTCCTATCTTCTCCTAAGAGCACTGAGCTAATATACACAACACCCTGAAATTGCAGTACATGGGCAGAAGTCCCCATCCTCTTCACGAAGAGACATCCTCTTCTTTTTCCAGGAATGGATAGAACCTCTGGTCACTAACTGTAATCCTGGAGAATTTGGTTGATATACTGTATGTAGTTGTTTTCTAAATACTGTTAAATTGAATTACTTCGTTTCATTAAAATATAAAATTCTGTACGTTCCGGACATACAGCATATTCTGGATAAATGTTAATATCAAGTTCTTATCAAAGTGTCTTAATTATTTGCTTGCTTTTTAATAAAGGATTACTCTGAATGTAATGCTTTAAAAGGTTTGGAGAACTGGAAAGAGAAAATAGAAGAAAGGACTTCAGACCACTAGTTAATAGATTTTTTGCGACATGGTGATAAATAATAATTACTATGGATCTTATAAGGCAGGATTAGGCAATCTGTGGCCTGTATATGGCATAAGCCCCCAGCACTAATTTATATCTCCTGAATTGCACTAATCTTAGAAAGTTAAAAAGGTAAGTTTGAAATATGAAACATTTTACAGTAAGATTTTGGAATTAATTATAAAGAACAAACAGATTCTGTTTCGGTTTTTGCAAACTATAACAAAAATAAGTAATTTTATGATTTTATGGACACCAGAAGGGACTAAAGATTTTAGGCCAATGGTGGCGAACCTATGGCACGAGTGCCAGAGGCGGCACTCGGAGCCCTCTCTGTGGGCACACATGCCGTTGCCCCAACCCCGCCTCCCCCCGCAGCCCCCTCATCATCATCAGCCCCCTCGGAGAGTAACCCCCGGGTGCGGCCCAGGCAGAGCAGTGCAGCCAAACACATGGCAGCTGGGCAGCAGATGATGCTGTGGGGCACGGGCGGAGGACGTGGCCACCATGGCGCTACCTGGGCAATCTGCAGCGTGCCGTGGATGGCCCTGAGAGCGGGCAGGGTGAGGGTGGAGCAGGACGGGGGTAGGCGGGCAGAGCGGGGGCAGGCTGGGGACGGGCGGTTTTGGGCACTCTGTCTCTAAAAGGTTCGCCATCACTGTTTTAGGCAGAAAGAAAAAGCACAGACCTACCTTTCATGTTAATTAACTGGGACTTACAAAATGATGCACAATTTGTAACACTGAAACTACTAAAGGAGACTTTTAAAGAATAGAGTCACAGTATCAACAGTGTCAGTCATGATGTCTGCCTCCTTGGACAGACTACTGTATGTCCAAAAGATGTTATTAAAGAAATGACAGATGTGAAACAAATTTTATCTGACAAGATAGAGATGGTACTGAAAAGCCTAAAGAACAACTTGGAAAAGATTGTCTCAATGGATATACAAAATAAAAATGCAAATAATGCTTACATTGCAAACTGCCTAGACTAGAGCAGGGCTTTTCAACCTTTTCACAGTTTGTACCACTTTTAGGACATGACAATATTTGAGTACCACCAGTGCTTAGCAAGGTGTCAAAAAAAAGGGTTTTACTGAGTTTTACTGATTAGATTCATTTGTTGTTATAGAAATTGCCAGTTTATAATATTATGGAAAAGTAAAAAGTTGAGGTTCAATGTTAATGCTTCCTTCTACTGCAACAGAGGAAGTATGTTCTTTTTCCCTTCTCCCCCTCATTTCCCCCCCTTTTTCCTCCCTACTGTATCCTACTATTTGCTTTTGTATTTTATTCTATAATCTAATAAAATATTACAAACTGTAGAAAAAAAGAAAAAAAGTACCAGTTTTAATTTCTTCTGTGGCTGTTCCTTTGCTGAATCACTTTCCCTTTGCACTGAAAAATGTAGATGAATTCAAACTTGGCACTTTTATGACTTGTGGACTTCAATTCCCAGAATTCTCCAGCCCTCGTGGCTGGTTGAGGAATTCTGGGACTTGAAGTCCACAGGTCTTAAAGTTGCTAAGTTTGTAGACTCCTGAGCTAGCTGGTTGGCCCTTCTGAGCTTTTCCAATCTCTTCCCTGTACCCTTAAAGACTCAGGAATCAAGAGCAAAGCAAGAAAATTAAGAAACACAAACTCCGGGGTTTTTTTCAGGCGCGTCACGTCACAATGTTGCAATCCTTGACTGAAAGGCTCCGGCAATTGCGAAAAGCTTTAGCTTTAAATTAAGCCTGTTTACCTTCAAAGAAAACTTTCTAAAAGCCACAGACTCAATTAAAGGGGGTAAAACTAATTACATTTGTTTAAAGGGATTAAACCTTTCCTGATGTCTTTTTTCCCCTTCCCCCACCCAAACCACCTTCTTTTATAGCCTCTCCTCTCCCCCCCCTTTTTTTTTCTTCAGTTCACCTCCAGCTCCAAGCTGCTTCCGGAAGCGCCAATCAGCTGGAGCCCTGCCGGCTCCCGGGGCTTCTGCCAAGCCCAGACAGTCCTGCAGCTGCAGCTGCCTCTCCCTCAGGCTTGGCTCGCTTTGGCTCATTCCCCTCCCCTGCTACACTTGGCTAGCAATCATGTACCACCTGCCATGTGGCAAAGTACCACAAGTGGTACGCGTACCACCGGTTGAAAAGCCCTGGACTAGAGAATGCTATAAAGTGGTATGGGGCAGTATATAAGCCGCTATGCTATGCTATGCTAAAAGAAAGTGGCTGATATTTTAAAGAACAAAATGGTAATACAAATAATAAACCAAGAAAGTGACCTGAATAGTTTTTTTCTTATTGAATTTACCAACAGGCTTGTTAAAGACCTGAAAAACTCTGTACAATGGGATAAAGAAGAAATGAAAATACAAAAATATTTGAATGAACTCAAGATAAAGATAGTTAGAAGAAGTAAAAAGAAAGAATATAAAATTAGTTTATTTGATCAAGGTTAAAAGAAAATACACTGCTACTCCTGGCAACTCTTTATAGATTTTCTATTAAGACCAGGACTGCAAAGATTATATTTTATGGATCTTCCTCTAGATAAAGGATGGGATATAGGAAGAAGAGATGACATATTTTTATTATATTCTTCTTTCTTCTCTTTTTCCTTGCATTTTTTACATTTTTTTCTTTCTTTAAGATTAGTTAATAATAGCTTTTATTATTATAATCAAAACTCTTAACTCTTTAACTG